TCCCAGTGCGGGCGGCTAGAACTCCCTTATGCGATAAGTAGGAGGCCTTCGGTGATCTCCGTCTCACATCACTGTATAGCCAATGAGTTAGGTGTTTGTATCTTTGTAGAATCTTTTTATATTTATTTTGTTTTTACGCTTGTAAAAGTTCTGCCTCGAAGAAGCTGCATTAAAATTATTACTGCATTAAAAAGCTTATAAAATCATAAACAATAAATTATATTTAGTAGCAGTAGAGCCCCGTGTGAAAGATTTCGTCCAAGGAAGTACCTTTTTTTTGCAGTACCTGCCACCTTTACCTATTTCTGCTGCCAAGCACTAATGTGACCATTACTTGTCAACTTATGTCTCAGGGTGCAGCGCAATGCAGTGCCACTCATGCTTATATGACTGTCTCTGTGGCCGAACAGAGCTACGTGAGTTTGGGTGTACTTTGTGCTTGTCTATGCGTGTGTTCATGGCAATCCTTTCCACAAAAAAAAATTCCACTTGGCGCACGACTTGTTCGTCTCGTCACACTGTATCTTAAAAAATTATTAATGCCAGACAACCACACCAATCACCTGGTCTCAAACTAGGGAATTTTCTATGTTACGAGTACCAGAGCAACGGATTTCACTCCGGTGTACTTCCCAGAATACCCAGACCAGAACCAATTTAAAAGAGTTTTTCCCCAAATTGATCCCGCCGGGAATCGAACCCTGCACCTTTTCAGCCAGCGCCCACAGTGCAAATCGTTGGGCTACCGAGGTCGTCACTTAGGTCATTCTATTTGTCAAGTCGAAGAAGAAGAAGGATCTAGAAAATATGCAACTGAAGGATCAACTTAGAAAAGGGTTTTTTTTAATTTAAACTTCATAAAAATGCTTTGTTTACATCTTAGATTTTTCCATCCTTTAAGGTTTACATTAGCAACGCATGAACTCAAAGACGTTGACACGTCAAGACTGAATTTGCGTCAAAGTTTGGCATGAATTGAACAGTCACACAAAATGTTCAACCTTCGACATTTGCAAGTCTATTTGAATTAATATAATTCAACTTTAACGTTTTCCGAACGGCCCCGAGTCGGTGGTTGAAACCGGCTTTAAAGAAAAACATATCTGTCGAAAGTTTTACACTTTGTGCTTCTTCTTCTATTTATAGACTTCCAAGTGAGCCAATGTAGATTATGCTGAGGAAGGAGGTGCTCCAACAGCGGAATGAGTGATGCCGTGGGGTATCTCTCCTTCCAGAGATTTATACAGACTTGGTTAGTTTCCCCGTCCAGAGGGAATGATTCTTTAATGAAGCTTGGTGACTCTTGAGCCTCTGGATTACAGACATATAACTTTGTAACCGCGGGTCAGTCTCTTTTTTTAAGCTCTCTACTTTGTGCTTAGATAGAGTATATGTATGTTTTATTCTGATGTGTAATATAATTACCCTCACCTGAGAGGAGACTTGTGCCCAGCAGTGGGACATATAAATTGGTTGACGGTGATGATAATATAATTTATACTTTGATATTACAATTTTCGCATGCATTAGTCTGCCGCTGTAATTAAATATCCACCGTAGCTGTTCAAATATAAGGTTAATGTTTGGTTAGGCTCGGCGCCCATTGACGGGACGGCACACTATGTCCCGAAGCCGCGGTATCCCTAGGTACGTCGTGGTATCCGCATATCGACGTATCCTTAGAATGCTGCTGCATGCCTAAGGACGTCTTCGACCCTTATAGAAACACTGCAGTGGCGCCACGGCCGTGACACGCGCCACAAAAATGATTGAAGCGCCAAAAACTATAGCGCCAGTGCAGTGCTTCTACAAACGTCTTATTTGAATGCGCCTTCAGGCATGTTGCAGCGTTCCGTCACAACATGGTGCTCGCGCCTGGCCTCTCTTCAGATATCTGCCTACCCTCGGCCCGCGTACCCGTATAGTAGCACTCGGGGTCCCGAACGCTGTTGAAGTATTTCAAAGGCCACCGAAGCATCCCTAAATCTAGGGAGGCCTTCCGGGGGAGCACTCGCCTGTAATTAACAATCCAAAATTCGATTTTGAGAATTGGTTACAACACTGCCTCACATTCAGATGAAATAGACAATCTAACCCAACCAGATTATTTTATTAACTTATTATAACGTTGAGGATAACGCGGATCCCATAATTAACTGCTTTCCCTATATTTTTCAATTAATAGGGTTTAGTTTTAGTTTAGGGGACCGCGATACGGTCATTATAAGTGGTGTGCATTGATGTTACGAATTGTATCACGGGTGCTCTCACTCACTGATGTAATGCTCGAATTTGAACTGTTACATTGCACAGGCGAATGCTCACGGTAAGAGAGCGCCCTAAGGCCATTATTGCGATTTCGACTATAAAGCCATAAGATTAAGGTATATTATGCCTTTTTACCTTGCGTCATCTGCTGAAAACCTCGACCGAGCCGCCTCGTTAGTGATCGTTGAGCCTTAGTTCCTATATTTGAATTATCGAATGCACCAGGAAAGTATAATGGCATATCATTGACTTTTGTAAGTCAATGTGGCATATAGTAAAATTTTAACAATGTAATCGTCTACTTCGGTTTGGATTTTAGAAACAAGTGCCTGTGTTTGCAATTTTAGTAACTTGGGGTGAACTAATATCATACACACTGCATCTGTTAACGACATAAAATACAATATAGAACAAAATATGATTACCGTTTTAAACAAAAAGTTAATTTATGAAATAGTAATTTGAATAAATTAAAACTTATGAAAATTTAAAAGAAAGTTAACCCGTTCACGGTTAGTACTTAAATAGTACCTTACACGAAACTGTCACTGCTTTTCAGGCCGCAGTGCTTATATGTTCAATGTAAATCATTCAATTTTGTCAATACATTGTTGATGCTTCTCTATGGAGAAGCAATAGGTGGCAACTACTCAGAAATCACTGGGAGCTCGCACTATAAAATTCTTAGTTGGTATTTTGAGATTCATATAGTGGAACGGGGTAGCCTTCACTATCATTATTTTAATATTTAATTTTACGGTATGAAATACAAAAATCTTGAATAACAATAACTTTTAATGGCAAAACTGCTCGTTTGGCTTACTGAGTGACATCCTACAATGTTTTGGAAAATATTTTTCACATATATCTGTATAATGTTTCTTAAAATTTTTGCTTCTCTTAATACGAGTATATACACTCTACTTAATTAGAAGGCAGCGGAGTGCCATGAAATCTTGTGTCTTATTACATTCGCCCCATAAATGTTCTCAGTTCATTCTTTGCAAATTGCTTCACATTAAAAATGTAAAGTAAGTATATATTTTCTCCAACCTAATTTTTGGTGTGACTAAAGCTTTGAATATTTTTAAGGGCGATAGGGAATGGATTTTCTTCATTAAGGTTATTAATTCTTGTTATAAAACGCTTCATTATTTTTAATGACCAGTCTTACTTATAAACACTATTTAACTTTAAATAACGTTTTAAACAATGTTTTAAAAATTGTTACGTAATTGTTACTTATAAACATTGATTAGTGCTAAATGATTGATTAATTTGTTGTTTAAAAAGCTGTCAACTCAAACACCTTAAGAACCTGGTTTAACTCGCTAACAAGATGGCTGACATTAATCAGCTGTTAGCAGGTTAGAAAACGTCAATGAGTTAAGCAGATTTGTTTTGATTTTTATTAAGAGAAAATGTTTACTTGAATTATGAAAAATTTGAAAAATTTCGGCGTGATATAGCATTTTTGCAGTACTTTAGACGGAGGCGCGCAAAGAACATGGAACAAGATACGATCCACTGCTCCAGTTATATGAACATGAATTTATGAAACGATACCGTTTTTCCAAAGAAAATATGTTAAAAATAATAGACAATGAGTTTGTTAGTATTTGTCCTTGATTCAATTTTCCGATTTTCGCTCCAAATATCAAATGACAGCCATCTGACAGCAATTTTTTTCTGTGTTTTGGCTTACTATAGCTATTTTTAAAGGTTTAATCTTCTAATGTTGCCATGATACTTATTTTTTCTTCATTAAACATTACATAATTATGCAGTGTTTAACTTTTTTTTATAAGTAATGGAAAGTTAAATAAAATCTTAAATAATGTTTAACTAAATATTGATTAAAGGGATGTTTAGTTGTTTTTTTTTAGTAAGGCTGTAAATTATTAAGTGAAGAAATTGAATTGTGTTCTCATCTGTCAATAATACTAACACTCGGGTGTTTGTAAGTTGCAGTTAAAACCCAAATACCACAGAACAATAAATACAAAAGAAGTGCTTAGCGGACGTGACACGTTTACCTACACTTCGCGGAGTTCCGTAAACTTGAGCACAGTCCGCCATTTTCGCCTGTACGGTCATATCAATTGTCTCGAGCAAAACCTCGAAAACCGTGAAAAATATACCTTATTTTGCCACTTTGCAGTACAAAAATGATGGTCGCGTCTGTTATACTATCCGTGTATTGTATTTAATTTTAAAAAAACTTTAAATTTTCTGTTTATCGTAAGTAAACTTTATGACACTGCAACATGGTCGACCTTCTTTTTTTGGAAAACGTTAATAGGCGTTAATCGTTCGTCGCCTTTCAGCTATTGACGCTAGATGGCAGCACATTGAATGAAACTTCATTATAAAATCAAAACGTTCGTAACTTGCAATATGGATATTTAACTTTCAACGTATGCCAACAGGGTAAAATTTAAATTATATTAACCAGTCCAGAATTGGTTACATTTTTAAATTGGAAACTACAAACAATCATTATCAAGACTTCATAATGTTTAACATTATAGTTGTGTGAGTTTTGGCAACAGCGGTTCTGACGGTAATAGTTGTTTAGGACGTTAAACATTTCATTTCTCCATTTTTTTTTCTTCCGTGCCAAATAACAAATGACACTAGTATCTAAAGTATACACTATAACAATTTCTCAAATACGAGATAACCAATATAGCAAATGGTTCGTCTTGCCTAAACTCGTTTATCTTTTTCAGTACGAGTTCAAGGCAAAAGGCGTGAAGAAGCGCAAAGTGACAGTGGACGTGTCGACTGATGGGGTCCGAGTCACCACCAGAATAAAAAAGAATGGCAAGGTGAGTCCATATTTTACTTTTGTAGCATTTTCAATGTATTTAAATACACCTTACAGAAAACATCTTGCTCTCCTCATCATCATCTGTTCTGGGTATTTTGTGACGACAATTTTACAAATTAATTCAATTTATATTTTAGGTTGTATTAGGTACAGCAGGAAATATCTGTTTCACAAAAATCCTATTAATAAACATACGCGGTTGCAACGCCCTTTTTATTCATGAAATTCTGATAAAATTTACATAGCCGCCCCAAACTCGATCCCAAGTTATATTGAAAACGCCGATAAGCTTCATGTTAGATTCTATTCTACCCATCTCGATTTGAAAAGCTTCGAGCATTTCAACTTAGAGTGCAATGAAGATTTGCATGTTACTCCCGCAGGAAACGACCAGCACCTCCTATTGCACACTGATGCGATTCTCGCGCGTCACGTAAACGTTGAAATATATCTCAATATACATCACTCATGATGGGGAGCTACGAAATTCGAAATACGAATGGAATTGATAACAACACAGGAATTTCTAGTTACGAGTAAGAATATAAGCTAAGTTTCACTCAACATGAACAAAATGTTGAAACCGATATTTTCGCGAAAGAGTTACGGTAAATGTACGTCATTGGCGGGGTTTTCGAGACGTATAGAAAAAAGTGAACGGCATTAAGAGCTCTCACTTTACCGCCTTATCCGCTACCAAAATTAAGAAACAACCTTATAAATGTGGCGAAAGTATAGCAAAACCTTGTTAAAAGGAATTAAAGAATAGATGAACATAATTGAAGTTGTCCGAGCAGGAAAACGTTATTTTTGCCCTAACGCCGCAGTTTATTTCATGGAAATAATACACTATAGGGATATTTTTCTCAGACTAAAGAGAATAAATAAAAACATTTTTATTACCATAACGTTAGCCCGCCCCGCTCCATGATTCTGCATCGTACAAAAGGGCTTTATCATTAAATTACTTTGTTATAAGAGTAACACAAAATATTCATGAAGATAATATAGGCAAGGGAAAGCTTCATGTATTGCCGAACCTCACGGTTTTCATTCACCGTTGTTTCAAAATTCTCAAAGAAAACTAAAAAGTTATATTTTTTTTCTAGGCTCACAAAAAGCGAACAGCGTTGCCATAAACCGCAGTGACCACGAAGTTTTTTCCTAAGACCATTAATCACCACCGCGAGTAATGGAAAACTGTCAACTCCTGTCTCATGAAGCTGAGGCGTATTCTTTTGTCACCTATTCAGTGTCATAGCACATTATCGCAGATTTTCACTGCCCACATAGAGGAATTCTCGCTATACTTTTTCTCCTTATCTTTTTATTTCTGCACTGAATTAATTGTAGAAATAATAATTCTCTTAAGGTCTAAATCTCACGGTCATCGAAATGTATTCTGAAACTCTGAGATAAACAGATTATCCTACAAATAAGATGCAAAAAAATAGGAAATGCAATTGCGTAGGTACAAAAAACGTTTCTCTCAGGTATACAACAAACAGTCTGTATAATATAGTATCTACATTAGATGAATGTTTTATGAACATTTTATCTCAACGAATATCATTTACAGCGAAGTAAATTGCAATATCCAAGTGTAAATATTTGCCCGAACTATTTGTCTTGGACCCGTTGTACTTGTGTTAATTATCAAAGAGTTGAAGGGACCCGTCCCAGTTTTGGCCCTCAGTTTGTTCTGAGGCATTCAATTTGCAAAATGTTTGAAATAATTGTTATACGTTTCACAACATTTCCTAAAGGCTTTCGATGTTTGAGTAAAGTATGCACTAGGTATGTAGAATTTTCATCACGTACACTCGTTGCTTGTCGTGTTAATAATCCCGTCGTTGTTATCGGTGCTCCCAAGCGATGGCTTGTAATTACATTTCAGCCGGGCTCAGGCGCTAATTGGGGCTATTTCTTATCCAACTTGAAGATAATCTACCCTCCCACATTTCCTCTGCAACACTTTGGTAATCATGCCCTCTATATCCAATCAAAAAGTTTATACTTCGTTAAAGAATATACTGGAATTCTTTGATACGTACGTATTTCGAGTTGTAACAGGGTTATGTTCAATAACTTTTTGTCTTTTCATATTTTTTAAGTTTAAGAATATTTATTTTAGGATCAAGATAAATAGAATGGGTAACTACAACTTAATTCGCTTGGTATCTTTTTGTACTTTAGTATAAACCTAGTAATTTTATGTAGGTATGTAGATGTGGTAATCTTATTCAAATTTGGACCCGGGTAAAGTTTAAATGTCATTTTGCTTTAGCTGCGAAGTAGAATAGTTTGTTCTGAGTTTTAATTAATCTTATATGGTACGGTAAGGTTAGGGTGACGTGCGCAGTGGCACTGTCCCTTAGATATTTGCGATTTAAAGCTCTGCGTGGTACTGCAACTCCTATGGGCAGGCTTTTCGCTTATCACTAGGCGCCGATTTTGACGAGACTTGTTCGTGCCGTCACTTTGTATAATAAAAAAACGTATTTAAGATATTGAAACAACTTTTGAAATATTCTATTTTCAAGGTTCGACGAACATGAACGAAAATTCCACACTACTCTTACAACGTCTCTTATAGTTTCGATTGTTCCAGAAGACATCTACATCTAAACTATTTGGCCGCAGCAAGAACACAGTGGCTGAGGGTATCGAAATCATGCATCACCCTATTTACCGTATCTTCTATGTCTCGCATGACAGTTCCGACTTGAAGATCTTCTCTTACATTGCAAGGGATGGAGCGACCAACGTTTTTAAGTGCAACGTTTTCAAGAGCAACCGTAAGGTTAGTACTAAAACTTATTAATTTTACTTCAACGTCTTTTTCTTTCGTCTGTTATTTAAAACGCCGAAAAGGCAGATGGTCCACCCGGTGAAAAGTGGTAATTGGCACCTATGGACGTCAGTGGTGCTTATGAAATAACTTTAATATTGGAAATGTCAACCGTAGGACATAAGACCTTAAGTCTGCTGTTCTGCTATCGCTAACCTCTAATCCAGAATACGGCAGTGCTGCTTTACCGTAGAAATGAAGTAACTGTTGTATTTTAAATTAGCAAACTATGAAAGCGGTCGATCGGGATCAGGTAATAAGTACTTTAAAATCCATTTTGACCGTTGATATAAATTATATTTACGTAAAATTTCTATGCCTATCTCAGGCACCAGTCTCTCGCCAATAAGGTTTAATATTAAAACTATTAATATTAAACTTTATTAGTCAGTAAGCATTATATAATTTACCTTGTATGTGGAGAGATAAAATAAATATATATATATTTTAATACAGTTGCTCAAAACGTGGTATTTTTCGCACTACAAATCGTGCGGAAAGTTGGATTTCTCGCACTAGTACTTTTTTACTTTTCCAGTTTTTTTTTAATTTACTGTTGTTTTAAGTCTTAAACATAGAACTAAAGAAGTTGTATATTTATTTAATATTTATGTGCTTTGTGACGTACATAAGTCATTCGTTATTAAAACTTATATTTATTTACAAATACTATATAATGAACGTATCGAGTGGAGGTCCACAGTGTCTGCCTACCCCTGAATGGGTGACAGGCGAGATTTTTATGTATATATTTATTTGTTCTATGTATTACAGATAAATTGTATCTCACTACCGTGCACGGGTTCCTAAAGAAGTTTAAACAAAAGTACCAGGACTTCATAATAAGAAAAGTGGTTACAGACCGATATTACAGAAAATAAACAAAAACAGCACGTTAGAACTAGATTTCCATGGAATTTTAACTAATGGTTGCAGTGGTTGTATTTCATTATTTTAATTTACTAGCAGAAAATGAGTTTTGTTTAAATACTGTTTTATTTTACTTTCAATGTAGTTTTTTCGCAAATGTATTAAAAAACGTCGTTTGATACACGTGCGGATTTGTCATTTTCACTTGTCTCGCGTCTTGACCCTCGCCTCTGGCTCGGGCCAAGAAGCCTCGAGACTCGTGAACAATGACTAACTTTCCGCACTTATATCAAAAATAACTATTTTAATAAATAAAGAAGTGATATGTAACGTACGAGATATTGGCACTTATTTTTTTCTTTTGCTTTGAAAAAATGTGAATTACGCTGATTTCGCTTAACAATAAAACTGAAACTAAAAAATAAGATATAAAAACTGCTTATAAGGGTTTGTACATTTCGTTTCACTAAAATTACTTACCATAATTTGTTTGTCCAAAAACGCAAATCCGAGCTCCTCAAAAAAGGTCACAGTTCATTATACAGTATAAAGTGGATTGCGAACTTAATACGTCTTCGAAAAGATATAAGAATTTGCTATTATTTCCATAAGGAATTATTATCCTTGGAGATTTATTTATTTATTTATAATATTTAAGGAGCTTATAGTCGTTTTTACAAGATATAATTCTACGTAGAATTAATTACATGCCTATTAAAAGCGCATGTGGCAAATCACCATGGCTACAGTAAAGTGGCACTGATCGTCGTTTAACTGATGCTACCATATGATGAAATGCTGCAGTGTAAGTTAAATATCTGTTTACAGCATATTTTGAAGTACTCGGTAATATTATAATTTCTAATTTTATAACAAAGTGACATAAAATTTTATAATAAGTATTTCGCATTTATAATAATGATCACATTTTAATGATCTAATGAAGTATTGATGACCTTTGGTATTACTGTGCTACGCAAAGAACGGTTCCTTGGGGGCTTGTATCCTTTACTATAGATGAAATGGTGAACTTTCTAACCACGAAGATCAACTCAATCAAAGAAAAGGCGTGTGTGATGATAACACAAGCAGGAATTAAGATTTAAGTGTGCATGATTGTGCTCGATCATATCTAAATTATTTAATTGCTGCATAAAGCAAGGAATGAGCTAAACATGAGCTAAACAAGTGCAACTACCACTGTACTCGTATCACCGCTCTATACTGGTAAAAGTAAACCGACTGGTGAAGTACCGACCTGAATTACTCCAAGCGACAAAATCAAAAGTATCATCAAAGATTAATGTTCTTTTCGATACTACTTCATATGAGATAGGCAATTCGCCTATAGTCAGGGCAAGTCTACCACTGACCTAGTTCGTGAAGTGGTGTGGCGCTTGTTGAGTGTTGTTGTCATAGGTTGCAACCTCACGCGCGCTTTTGATACGGCTGATCATTCTTTTGTCTCTAAAAAACTACAGCTTTATAAAACTACTACAGAGCGCTTTGTTGGTTTGTGTATGAGTGAGTAAAAGATTTTAGCCGTCAAACGGTCGTATAACATCGCCTCAGATGAAAAATTCACTAAACGTGACCCAGGACGCGTGTCTATCCCTAGTATCCTTCTAAATAAGATCATCTGCAGTAGGGCCTGCAAGTGATTGAGGAAGTTGATGTTTTTAAGAGTTGATACTATCTCAGCTCAAATTAAAATTTTTCCCGTACTAATATGGTTCATTTTGCTTAGGAACGAAATTAAAGCCATTTGAAAAATGTATATCGTATAGTATACGCGTTCTATTTAGTCCAGTTGATATAAAAAAATCTTTAGTATATGTAAACTACTTATTCAATATAGAGTTTTCTTTTAAAATTTCGAGGTAAGGTTGTGTTTTTTTCTATGGTGAAATTTCTTAGGATTCGTGTTTTCACAACGTATGGTAGTCAGTGTATATCTTCAATTTTACTATATATTTTTTTCTAAAATGATTGATTCAACACTCACTGTTATGCAGAATCAACTAAAGCTATTTGAGGTAGACTTTTAAGTATACCGATAATTATCGCGACAATTCTGCATAACATGGAGTACGTCTTTCTGTACGGTAGTTCAAAGAATATATTCGTGGTTCCAATGCATTGGCTCTAAATACATATAGTACCTACACATATCACAGTATTCTTGACAAGAAGTACCAAACGTAGAGACAATTGCTGCCGACTGTTCTTATTTTCCTATATCTATTTGTTTTCTATTTATCTAGAACGAGAACTAAGGCCCCACTAGATCTAGCGAAGATCAAGTTTTCGAAGTTCTGTATAGTTTCGCCTCTTTGAAACTACAATGAAGCTAAGACAGGCAGCTAAAAAAGATGTAAATTGCACTCATCTATTGACTGTAAGATTTAAATGGACTCTGTTTTGCAAAATGAAGTCAATCACGTATTCTTTCACATGATATACGCGATATAATAACAGACAGATACAGATAAAATCAGCAAATATTAGATATAATAATAATAGATATAATCAGCAATTGCCTCTGTGGCCGAACGGTTACCATTCCGGACTGTCACGCAGAGAGAGGTCCTGTTACCTTTCCAAAAACTATCTTATTTCAAAGTAAGCTAAAGCTAAATAAAGTAAGCTTGTGGTTATAATATTACTCATATCCGTACCATGACAAACTTGTCTACCAAGAAATGTATTATTGCTAAAATGACTGAAAGAACGAATGATTTCCCAATTTGTCTATTCCTTACTAAAAATAGGAAAGAAATAACGCTATATGAACTGTATAATGCCATTTCTTTCTTTTGTGATGTTCCGAATCGTGTTATCGTAGAATAATGTTAAAGTACTTAATGTTATTTACATTCAAAGAGTGTTTTAACTGCCAAAAAAAGAAAAGTAAGTAATAAACAAATCTATTAATATTACGTTGTTTTCAATTATTATTCCGCATATTCATGAATAAAACATATATATAGATAAATAAAACAAGCTGAGTCTTGATAGTCACGTTGTGAATTCGGAACTATAGTCCAGTGTCAACTGTTAGTTTCGCCAAGGAGCATATAGAAGGCGCTGTCATAATTTTACAAAATAAACATACCGTATTTTTATTTTAGAAATTATTTCCTATGTGCTATTAAATAAAAAATAAACAAAATATTGAAGAGATATATGTAAATAAATAAGTTCAACTTAACTTTTAATCATAACTAATCAATATTAAGACAATAAAACTGAAAATAATATTGTTTTCGTTGCATCCGTGTAATTATTTTAGGATTGCTAAATTTGATATAAGAGCAATAAATATTACTTTAATTAATGTCAAAGTCGCGTCATAGTATGAACTGAGTGAATGAATAGTCACAAAGCTGCCAATATAACATCATAGTTTTAACATTACAAATAGGCTTACTTTATGTAAATTTCATAGTCTAAGTTAGTTGAACTCGTCTCAACTAATATAATTCGGTAAAAATTTTACGTTCTAGAAATAGGATGCGAACAGTTATATGTAGTTTCTGAGACAAAATTTTTGTTGGTTTAAGTTTTTATTTGATAAAACTGAAATTCTATAAAATATGGCTAAATTAATGAACATTACTTGAATAGAAAATGTTAAATTCTGTGAAAAATATGTATAGGTAGGATGTTATATCTATAGTCTTGTGTATTATACTGAGGAAGTAAATATTATTATTAATGTATGTGGAAAAAAGTCTTTTCAGAGGTTGTAAACAAGAAAGTTTTAAACGATTTACGTTACTCAAATACAAATCGTCTACCAATCTTAATTTATTTTCTGATTTTATTTATCATTTTCAGACTCTGCAAAGTGTAATTACAATAAGTGAAAATTTTGTAATAAAATTTTTTACACACAGCAACAGCTCATCAATAGACGACCTCCGTGTTCGAGAGGCTTGCACACAAGTTTTCATGGTGTCGCCATTTCTGGGGTTCTGGGTTCGATCTCGGCCGGGTCAATGTAAAAACTAATTTTTTATATTGTCTCTAGTCTGAGTGTTTGTGGTACCGTCGTTGTTTCAGATTTTCATAAAACAAGT